ATTTTTTAAAAAGTATCAAACTTTCTGATCTGTTAGTTTATATTCACGATAAAATAACCCCGACCTATTTATGAATAGAATCATAAACATAAGAATCGAAGCTAGAAATTTTTTAAAAACAATTCTAGTAAAAAAAATTTTTTTAAATTTTTTTTATTAACTTATTACTTTAGATCACAATCAAATATCACGCTATTAGTTGACGAGAAAACGTGTTACTGCTTTTTACATTAAGAGATTAGCAATAAAATCATGTAGGTCTGATGCTTTTAAAATAATTGTTATTTTCCATGAATCATATTTCTATGAAATCATCTGAGTGATTAAACAGTAGTAGCTCCAACGTGTCGCTATGAGGATCCAAGTTAAAATTCTCTTCTTACTCATTCTCCTCCGATACACCCACTACAACAATCTCTCCGCTTCATTGGCAGACAACTAGGATTTTTGAACTATCCAAACAGCATGAATCGCTGCAGTATAATTCACCCTCACTCTGCTATCAATAAAAAGCAAAAATATCTATTCACCACCGTCTAGGAATAAGAAGAATATTCTAGATTTCCAAGAGTTATAAAACTTTTAACATAAAAAAAAACGTTTTAACACTTAAAAAATACACATAGCCGAGTGTAATAATTTGACAAAATCAAACAGACGTATCGTCTACTTTAAGTAGAATACATCATTATCTGAAAATACCAGCTACTTAGCTTCATTCAGCGATTGCTGTCGAGTATTTTTATGAAGTATAGGAATGCCAGATATTAGAGGAATAGTTGTTGAATCATCGTACCTGACAATCTATTGGTTTTAGATAGCAATCATCCTTTGGTCGTTATTAAGAAAGAAAACCGAGAATACGTTTATTATAGGGTGACATTAAATATACTATTTTATTTTTTTTGTATAAAATCTCGAATATTTTATAAGATTAAAGCTTTATATATATCCGAACGCAATTTTAATTCATTTAGTAATGGTCTTCTATCGTATCACGATCGTATATCTTAAGTACGGCTCCCTCGGTATGTAAACGTGACGATTCTTCAAAGGTTGGAAGTAGTAGATTCTTACTCTCAATTTTCAAAATGTTTATAACAAGGCAAGAGCAATTTCTGTACACTTTTAATAACATCCGGTAAATTATTATCATTAAATTTAGATGTTGTACTATTTTTAAATGAATAATAAATTAGAAGGTCAGGTTTGTTAAGTTATACTTCCTATTTTCTATAATCTATGTATAAAATTTAATCATACGCAACTCTCATTAAACTATAACTTTTTTTTTTGTTTATTTAACTTATTTTTTAAATTATTTTTATCATAAGATAATGTAAAATGATCGCGAATAAAGATAATTAAAAATCAAAGGTGTTTTTTTTATAAATAAAATTAATTAAAATGGCCAATTTTACGCAATTATTTTAATATGATAATATCAAAAAAATATATATATCCTTCTACACTTTTTCCAGTATATAAACTTACATTATATATATATATCACACTCGTAAAAAAATACTCTTAAAAATCTTTCTTTTACCGAAATAAAATCGAAAATAAACAAACAAAAACAGCATTTTATTCGGAATTTAAATATATAGGTTAAACATTCACCTACAAAAATTTTTGGGAAAAAAAATCGATATGACAATCTAAAATATATTATTATATAGTAAATCAATATAAATACAATTTATAATTTCTTTTTTTTTATTGTGAAACAGATTTGTTGACGCCATGTGTATTGAAATAATATAAACAATTCTGTGTGTACCATATATATAATACATATTCATTATACACGTAAAGCATTACATGTAAAATGAAAGACTGTGGATAAAATGCGCAGCAAAATTCGACTATCATGTAAATTAATTCTCTTTTATTCTATTCTAACCCAACAGTTTCAATTTAAACGATCTGCGTGCCGAAAACTGTCCATCGTATGCGTTAATTATACAGAATTATGTTCATTATGGAACTACTGAGTTACACAAATTGCCTTGTTAAGAGACTATTTTGCTTCTTAAGAATATACAAAACTCTTTTTTAAACATATATATATATACATCAATCTCTTATAATAATATTTAAAACAATTTATTAAATAATCCTAAGGCAATTTTATTCTACTAAATCGTTAAAGATAGCGCAAATGAAAATCGTTTTTAGAAAGAGAAAGTGCTCCTAAAACACAAGAAATTCCATAGAAAATAATTGTACAAGAAGCAATTTCGTGATGGTTCTTGTAATTAAATCTTAAATTTCTTTAAGAGCACTTCTAATAAAAATTCTCTTGTAGCTTATTATCGAGTTTTCTTAACTACACTTAAATAAGAAGAGGGAGAAAAAACGTGGTTTAAAAGCAATTGAAACTCATAAATTTCTGACACATTTCCATTGCAATGTATATTATATGAGACAATTATTTTCGAACACTTCAAAAAAAATTTCCTTTTTCTTTCCTGTTAATTAATCGCGTGAAAGTATAGTAAAATCTTCCTTTCATTTCTAGAAGAAGTATTATTAGATTAATAATAATNAAGAAAGAAAAAAAAAAAAAAAGTAAAATTATCAAACGAGCACCTTTAGAAAACAAAATGAAAATGGGATTTTGGATATTAAAAATGGTAAGATATAGTATAAAAATAATTGAGTTTAATAAATAAAACAATTGGATTTATTTTTTAGAGAAAATATTATATCCCGAACGTTTCAAAAATTAAAATAATTCATAAAAAAAAAACAAAAAAATCCTTTCCCATAAAATAGTTTTTGGATGTATGCCAGTCTAAAATCTTTCCTTACGTGCATCAATAAAACGTCACCTTTACCATAACTTAACTTTTTACTTGCATTGATATAACAAAGCGCTTTTTCATAAGTTCTGATGATTAAAAATGAATAGGTTCACTTTTGGTGAGTATAAATCATGTCAAGTCTATAATAAATTTGAAAATAATCTACCCAAAAATATTCTAAGTGGTTTGAAATAATACAATTAAAAGAAATATTTTCTTTTTATGATAATTATTTTGATATTAAGTGGCAATATGCCACAGTGGGATGTAATTGATATCAAAATTTACATTTTTTTACCATTTATTAATATAATATTTAAGTTATTTTGTAATTATTCGTATTGTTTTTATTATTATTATTATTTTTTTATAGTTATTACCTGAAATTTCTTGTTTTTTTGTGTGATTATTTGGATTATTAAACGCGGAAAATTTTACGAAATTAAATAAGATTTTGGAAATGTTTACTAAAAATATTACGAATTTTTTTTTTCCTGTAGTAGTAAGTTACTAATTAAGTTAGTAAGCAAAGTGTTAGTTGATTAAAAACACACAGAATCTCGACGCATTTGATATTTATTAAAAATACAAATAAACAACCCAAAAATCATAATAAAATTGTAAATTCAAACGGTGTTTCGTATTAAATTATTAAAATGCCAAAGACAATGAAAGGAATGTCTCTCTCCGAAAAATCTTACGAGCATCATCATCCTGCTGTTCATCTCGAAGGAAGCTTGTTCGAAAGCAAAATCTTCTTTGTATCTTTCGACCAAGAAACACAGAATAAGATATATTTTGAAAGCGAAGGATGGACGCTTATTTCTCTCACTGTATCCTTTGCTTGATTCCAATCATGTGACCTGACAACAGGAAGGTGTATCGTGGAGACAAGGCTAACATTTCTTCCCCATTTTCAACCCCCAAGCAAGCAGCCGAGCCCAGACCCGGGCGACAGAAATCAATACGTTTATGCTGCAGTTTCTGGATCGGAACATCTGAGCCCAGGAAGTCAAGGTGTGTACCTGCACACTGGGTCACCTGGTACCTGCAATCGCGACTTAAACAGCCCAATTTTGTTTATCACCACTTTACAAATTTACTAAACGTTGCATTTATACGGTATCTTGCTTTTTTAAATTGCTAATATTAATTTATATACTCGATTATTTTGCTTTCTCTTTTAACAATATGTATTTGCAATATTTGAATGCATATAATTTTTTATTTTTATTCCATTTTTCATATTTATTTTTGCTTTTAAATATATATATGCATGTATTTCTAATCGAATGTTGCACGTTAAACATTTTCCGACTCTCGTAAATATTACAGGAGATTCTTTTACATTTTAATAATAAATTAATAAATTAATTTATTAATTTTCTCTAAATTTTATATAAATAGATGATTCTTTTTAAAATTAAAACATCTAAGCAACGAATTTATATTCGACTGCATGTTAAGATTAAAAAATATTGTAAACACTTTTGTACGTATGTATGTCTGAACGTTAATAACTTTGTGTATGCAAATATTATCGCATAAATTAGCTCGAAAATGGAGAAATGTTCGCTTTTGAGGCTACTTCTTAACACAAATGGCTAACAAAGTCGGGGTCAATAGTGCACTTAATGTTTACATTCGTAGAAACTAGGCCTAGATAAAGGCTCAGAAATTTTACATTTATAAAAAAAAATTGAGTAAAGTATTAATCGTAAGCACGTTTACAAAACGAATAAAGGTACGAGCTAATTTGAGGCATAAATTATGGAAAGATATTAAAGATTTTGAGGCGAAATTCAAAAATATATTTTTCTTGTTTCTCTCCTATGCGGGAAGTCTAGCGCATTTCAAGAACTGGAGGAAATCTATTCGGACCGAGATGAAGATTCCTTTTTCCCCTTTTCTTATTTTTTTCTAAATTCCCGTTCTAAGCTTTTAATCTAAATCAAGATTTAAAAAAGTGTGAAAAATCTTGGAAACAAACAAATTTTATGACAACTTCTGCTACTACTTTCTTATATTTCCAAGCGGAAAATGGAAGTTGATTTATTTTATTATTATTATTTTTTAGAAAAAAAATAAACGAGCGAAAATACTTAATGGGGAATTTTTTTGTTAAACAATAAAATAAGAGTATAAATTTGATTTTTGACAACTTTCTATGGATTTTTTTGAACTACTTACTGCGTAAGCTTCGACAGTTAGAGATGTCAATGGTGGTCCCATCAATATGCAATTACTGCGTGACTTTGCAAAACATAAGAACAACTTGGTCCTCATCGGTTTTTCAAAAAAAATGTCTCCTAAAATGCGGACCAACCGTACCAGCACCCGTACCAACTACCGACTGGCTGAGCTCAAGCATTCATCAACCCTCCGCACAGCCTGGCTACCGGGATCCTACCACTCCATGTAGCCGGCACAGTGCAGGGGGTAGACGGCTACAACCGGGGTGAAGCTTCGGCATTCTATACAGTGATATGCCGAGGGGAGGTGGGAAGATCCGAAACCGCATATTTCCACCAAAAACTGCACGAAAAATAACGTAAACCACATCACGTGACGACGGCTGCACGTAAATGTGATACCCCTAAACGCACGCTGCATAGGACTAGGCTCTAGTCTCGACCGTGCCCTTCTTTGCCAACGCGGCCTTTACTTCTCCCACTCAGATACACGCCATTTTCGACAAGTGGTCTGTCGTACGCAGGATGGGATTTCGGTGGTCGGTGTTATAGAGCATGCGCATTTGCCATTTCCTCCTCTGACTAAACACTAAAGCTTAACCAGGCGAAACCGAAAAATGCTAAGATATCGAGGAAATATTACCTCCATTGCTATTTATACAGTTAAATCTTTATATAAATAAACCTATTTTTATTTAATATTATCTTTTTTTTGTGCGAATTTATTAGAAAAGCGAAGTTTAATGATTTAGCACATGCGCACTATGCTAAATCGTTTGTCGCAACCTCAACCCGTGCTACATAATCTGCAAAAGAAATATATGAATAGGTGTACGTGTTCTTCTGCCAATAAAATATTCACGGCCTTTTCTCTATTTGTCATTAAAATAATAATATTGCGGTTTCAATTGCTTATTATTACTTCTTCGTTTATATTTTATTTTCTTTTATTTTTCCTTTATTTTTTCATGAGGAACACAAGGAGGAGAAGGAGCAAAGGGAGAAAGAGAGAGAGAATGAGAAACAGTAAAAAAAGATGCTGAGTAACCTTGTAAATCTATTTTAACAATGTATCTTGCCAAAAATGATGGTGTACGTGTTATTTAGATGTTGTACAATCGCTATATGATTATTATATTTATTTACCTTTTTTCAATTACTCATGAGATGTACGAGTGGAACGTTTGTTTGTCTGTCTCGCCGAACATCTTTCAAAAACTCTTAAAAATTTACGTCAAATAAAATTCCATGAGATTTTATAACTATAAAAATATATCGAAACTGATTTAGTACGTGTGTATGTAGCGCCGTTTTTTCATAAATTTGAATGGATTTATCTTTGAGGTTAAAGGGGTCAAGGGCGCGACACAAATTTGGTTTAATGTCTTCTTTTGGGTATGATATAGCTACTTGAATTACATAATAATAAACATATGATAATTTTCTAGGATGTTTATGATAATAAAAAAGGATAAGATCGCGTTATTTCCTTCTTTTTTTTCAATGTTAACTGGTACTAAAGCTGTTTGCTATCGTGATAAATTAATAATTCATCAATTTTGCTATAAACATAAACAATCTCTATATGATTTTAATCGATTAATTAAAGACCTATTTGGAGTGCCATTCTGAAAGAGGTCGAATGAGCGTTGAAGGAATTTTAATTAATATAGATAAACGATGTTGTTGGTATTAGAAGAGGTAATTATGGTAATACTATTTTACTGTTTTACAATGACTACCATAATCAAATTTTATATAGGATATCTAAATATTGTTTTATATCTTTTCATATCAAGAAATATTTAAAAAATTAGGGTTATTATGAAATGTAATCAGATTTTAGGGAATTTTCCAGATTTGTATAAGGAATTATCTGATTTTGTAAGGATGCTGTAATAATACGATTGCATTGCGAGTGAGGTCGAGGGATTTTTATTGTTTTTTTATGTAATTGTTTTTCTTTTGAATAATAGTCGAAATGAATATCTAAATAATTATTTTTCTTGTAAATTATTTTGTTTTTTTATGTATTTATATATATATGCTATACTTTCTAAATGAGATTTTAATTAATTGCATCTTTTGAACATGTTTGCATGTATTGAGAACATAATTGTCTAAAGTTGAGGAAGTAAAAATGGAATATTCGAAAATCATGATATTCTCTCATAAAAATGAAGCTTGAAGTAGCACACAATTTCGAATAGCATCAATTTTAATCAATTAAAATATAAAAATCATCCAAATGTCACAATGTGATGTCGCTTCCAATCTTATTATTCTTCGTCTTTCGATATTCTGTCGAATATGTGACAGTTAAATTGCTAATTGCCAGATAATTCATCAAACAAAGATGAATGCACTACTTTAACCTTCGCTCTAAAGCATACCTGCATATTATTTTATTCAAGAATTACTGTAATGACATTTTATAAATATCAGCATCAATCAATCTCATCTATAATGTCAAAATTAATTATATTTTATTAAATAATATGTTTTAAACAATATAATAAATATTCACTTAAAAGATTATAGAATCTATTAATATTTATTAATAATTTACAAACAAGAGAGTACACACATATATATAATAAGATAAATTTATTATTTATACTTTTATTTTATCACCAACAATAAATCATTTTATAAGAATTCATTTATAAACCGCATTTTTGAACAATTTACTTATATCTGCAGGTGCAAATTTCGATCGAAATACAATTGTTAAGTCGGGATTTAGTACTTTCTCCAAAACAAAAATCCTTGCCATAAGATATTCATACAATGACGATACGTAAGAGAGGAGAAGAGAAAATTTCCCTAAATAAATTCTTAAATTTGTAAAGATGCAATCTTAATATCCATTAGTATAAGATAAATTCGGTCTTTAACTAGTCTCATTGGGTCCTACCTGCGTGACACCTGTGTTCCAGGTGTGGACTTGGACCTCTACTACCCCTTCCCTATGTATTTTGACGTCTTCCAGATCCGATCGATACATTGATTATTCTTTGGGACCCGTTCTTTCACACCGTCTTTCCTGTGAAAGGTGGACCATGTTCTGCAGACTAATAATTGATATTTCGATCATTACACGCATGCATATAATATCATTAATAATGCAAATAATAAATATAAAAAAATTTGTAAAATATGATGATCTTTTGATATTTACAAATAATTAGATTTTTCTTGATTAATGATTGAAATTTTTTTCATAAAAACTTAATCAAATTTAATAATTTTTAATATCCAAATATAATTTTTACCATCGGAGTTTATTCACTTTAAATAATTGATATATCAAATAAATGTTTTATTAGTCTGTGCATAAATATTGTAGCATTAAACACGCAAAAATAATGTTTTCATTAAGATGAAATTTATATTATGTTTAAAAATCACGCAATGAAAATGATGCAATCGAATCGATTTCATTATTTGCATTATCATTTTGTGCATAAAATTTAATTTTTTCATTTGTTTATTCTCTTATATTTTATATTTTCCTGTTATGAGGACAAGAGAAGTAATGCTCTACAGTTTATTATTTTAGAGTGGAACAAATGTCAATAATGTGGAAAAAAAGGTAGAACGAGTACTCAAATGGTGATCAATATGATCAAATTATTTTCAGTTTCGAAAGCATGTTTATAGTTTTTTCATAATCACGAAATTTGCATGAATACACTAATATTTTGTATGAATATTATATAAGGAAATTCATTCATACTTTTTATCCTCATGAAATTTACATGGAATATCAATGTTTTTATAAATATAACAAAATTCTTTTATATTTGTATGATTAAAAAGCAGATCTGATGATAAGTATGCTAGTATCATCACTTTGCGTGTTATGATGATGCATGTTCCATAATCACGTCATTTACACGAATTTTCCATGGTTTAAGATCTATCCGGGTATTCTCATAATCATGAGATTTGCAGGACTCTGACTAAAGATAATATGATAAATTTGAAATTTAGCATCGTATTCATGAAATTTGCATGTTGAATAATACAATTTTTCAAAATCTATGATTTGTTTAAATTTTTTTCCCTTAATCATAAGATTTTCATGAATAGTATTATTGATAAATATTGCAGAATCTCATATTTTTTAGATTTATTTGTATTATACATTAGCATAAGTTTTGCATGAATATCAAAGCTCATGAATGTTATTGAGAATTTTTATAGACTTATTTTTGTTTAGATTTCTTTATAAGAGATTTGTATTAATGATAAATTACTATATAATATTTCATAATTTAACATTTATCTATATGCTTTTATATTTAAAATATTTTTATTAAATAAATATAAAATCTTATCATAATCCACTTTTCTAAACCCATAACATATATATTATAGAATAATAGAGTATTATAGACATATATACACATATAAATGATATATATTATAGAATATTTTAATAGTTTTTGAATTTATCTTTCACGTTTTTATATGATCAGAAAAAAAATTTTGATCTATTTTTTATATTAAAATCGCCAAGTTAACTTTTCTCTAACAAATCACATATTAGAATATTCATCTTAAATGCAAAGCCTGATCTACATTCTCTTCATAATTTGAATAATTTCCTTAATGCAACTTCCTAGTTGTTATTGCTGACAATTACCAGTGCTGGTAATTACATAGTTTGTTTCCCCCTTTCATCTCAAATGTGCTAGTGACATTGTTGATCGCAGGAGGAACGCAGTTTGAATGTTTTCACAAATTCCACCTCTTGATCTTATTGTTGTCTATTCTCTTTTGTTTATATCGAATATTATTTAATTATTTTCTAAAGATTAAAAAACTTTAATTTTACCTTTTTTTAAAAATTTATATAAAATTATATTAAAATATTTATATACACTTGAAAAGATAAATCAATAAATTATTTTATAATTTTAATAAAATTTATATATCAACCTGTATTAATTAATTAATTAATATAAACTATTTTTTAAAAATTAATTAGGTATGTATGTTCATTAGTTATACGTTATGCAACTCGTCATGAATTTCTAAAATAATATTTTCAGCCTTTTTTTGTAGCTGATGTTTCTTTTTAGTTTACTGAAAAATCACAATTACATTGAAAAATATAGTTGTAACTGATGGGATCGCGATCGACCTGTTAGAAATTCATAATTAAAGCTACTTAACTTAGAAATTAATATAAGAATAATTACATTAATACATAATTATTATAATTTCTTAATCAACGATTACGATTCTTCAATAGATTTCAGACAATGCATCGAAGATAACGAAGATAAAATCTATTGAGATTAACTTCCGATGCAAAACTCTTAATTATAGCCTCCTGTTTCCTGATTAAATTAATTATTTTTGCCCCTTTACATTTTTAACTACTCTATTAGTCAAATATCAATTTATAATGGGAAGTTT